CCCCACTTCATATTTTGGGAAAGTCATTCTTGAAAAGTTGTAACAATATTCTTTAGCTAAAGCCACTACTAAGATCCAGAGCTACTAAGATCCTGACCTTTTCGATGAATGAACCAATGATGTCTCTGAAAATTTCCAAATTCATAAATGCTATTATAGCACACAACGGTTTAAAACAAAACCCCAATATTAGTGATCCCTCAATGCCATTAAAATGTTATATGATTAAAGTAATAAAATATTGTATGTCATATAAATCTGTTATTTTGTTTTTTAATTGTTCATGGAATAAAGCTACAATATAGATGATGAAGTGAGCTAATTACCATCTACAAATGGTTATGGTTTACTACAGTAATTTCTATCTGGAGTGGTGAAAGAGTAGAAATGACGTATGTGTGTCGGAACGAGCAGGTATTTTGGGTGCATGCACGAAGAGATAAGGCCTCAAAATCTCAAGAGAAGTATATGTAGCTGGAAAAAACCCTATTCTAAAATTATTATTGATTAGGGATATTTGTAGAAAGAGAAAGTAGATTAGAGGTTCAGGGATTGGAGGAGGGTTACAGAGTTCTCTTTGGGGTGGTGAAGTTGTTTTAGAACAGATAATGGCAATGGCTGCATATCTATATAAAATGTAATTAATGCCACTGAATTGTACACTTAAGAAAGGTTAAATGACCACATTGTATCTCAAATACACTTTGTCAAAACTGCTATTCATTTCATTAGTTTTAGTCATGGTATTAAATTCATTTTGAAACTTCAAAAAATTTAAAGGAGGATGTGAGATAATTTGTATATATTCATGATAAAAAATAAAAGAATAATAATCCACTATGACGTCCAAGCTACCTGAGGCACACCTGGCAGCACTGCTGTGGCCAATCGAAGCAGCAGGAGGTCCAAGGGCTCTTCCTAATCCACAGGCACTGACACTACTAATCAGTACTCTCTCATTTCTAGAACTGAGCTATCATTTGGTTATGATTATTTTTTTTCTTTCATATGCTTTTACTTATAATAGAACTTTGTCATTTCTTATTTTATAATAAATAAAACTTACACACAAAAAATCATTGATAAGCTTGGTATAGAACTGAAGGTTTCTAACCACCCCTGTTATAAGTAACTCCCACGTGATTTTTAAACTTGTCTCTCTTTTTTTGTATGTGTGTGTTATTCCTTCCAGCTTGAAACTCTTTTTATCTTTGAATATTATTTAAGTGATGTGAGAATATGTTTATTTTGCTTTTATCATACATTGGGAGGTCTCTAATCCATATTTAGCTTAGAGGGCCCACTGGAGTACTAACGCTAAACCTACAGACCATGTGTCTTGCATATTTTTACTTTGGAAGGAAGCCAATGATTATTCAATTGAACAAACTAAGATGGATTTGACCATCTTAGAAAATCTGATTGTTGATGTCAGACAGAACCAATGCTTCTAATACCAAACCAGGGTTCAAACCCACCCTCTCCACCATCAACAATGACATGACCACAACTCTACCTTCACAAGACTTTGATGTGGGATTGTATCTGTAACCTTCAGCACATTCACATTCAAAGTCTCCTGGGGTGTTCTTGCACACAGCTGTGCCACAAATGCCTGGCTTCACAGAGCATTCATCCACATCTATAAATGAAACCAATATATTAAAAGACATTTTTCCCATACCAAGCTAGCAAAAAACCCTTGATCTGTGTTTCCTGGATCTGGTTTAATATATAAAATAAGATAACAGAGTGGCCTGAGAATAACAAAATATTAAATCTATCATCATGTTTTAGTTCACTAAATATTATATCTTTATGTAAGCACAGAGAATTTGATTTATGTTTGCAATGTGTAGTTATGTAAATGAAAGACAGGGCTTTAGTTATTGTCGTATCTACCAGGCTACAGTATGAAAATAAATGGGATAAAGGATTTACCACACCAGCCAGAGCCACCATATTATTCATATGTGTTTCTAAATACATGTTTCTGAAATATGATCTTAAAAGTATATACAATCTGCATTATCACAAATATAAAAAACAAATATGAGATGGCTCATCAGTCTTATGTTTTTCCCTTGGAAAAACAATAGCTAAACTGTATATCATTATTGTTGCCTAAAATATTCAAGAGTGACTCAAATTTAAAGTGAGATTGAATACGGTCTCAAAGTATTTATAAAGCTGCAGTTAATCCAATACAAATTTTAATGCTAAATTAATATTCCTGAAATTTCAGATGTGTTTATTACATTACATAGTAGAGTAGGAGACAACGTATTGATTGCAATTAGCTACTAGATAAGAACCTGTAAAAACAAAGAAAAAAAAAGTGGTCCTAACTGGTTTGGCTCGGTGGATAGAGCGTCGACCTGCAGACTGAAGGGTCCCAGGTTCGATTCCGGTCAAGGGCATGTACCTTGGTTGCGGGCATATCCCCAGTGGGGGGTGTGCACGAGGCAGCTGATTGATGTTCCTCTCTCATCGATGTTTCTAACTCTCTAGCCCTCGCCCTTCCTCTCAATAAAATTAATAAAATATATATTTTTAAAAAAAGAAAAAAAGTAAAAGAAAAAAAGTGATAGAAATAATTCAAGGGAGACATAATTATAAGTGAACTTTTCTCATTTGTACTCTCTGAAGGCAAGTTTAGAATGAAAAATATACTTTAAAAAATTGGGAGTTGCCCTAGCCGGTTTGGCTCAGTGGATAAAGCATTGGCCTACGGACAGAAGGGTCCCAGGTTCAATTCTGATTAAGGGCACATGCCCGGGTTGTGGCTCGATCCCCAGTGGGGGGCATTGCAGGAGGCAGGTGATTAATGATTCTCTCTCACCATTGATGTTTCTATCTCTCTCTCCCTCTCCCTTTCTCTCTGAAATAAATAAAAATATGTATTTTTTAAAAGCTGGGAGTTAAACTTTTCCACAGACTAATAACCAACATTTCAGACATTATTCTATTTTAAAAGAAATGCACACTGGTCAGCATTGCTCAGTGGTTAGATCATGGGTCTGTGCACCAGAGTGTCGCAGGTAGATTCCTGGTCAAGGGCATGTACCTGGGTTGCAGGTCTGGTCCCCACCCCTCTTTTCTCCCACCCACATTAGGGCACACATGGGAGGCAACCAATGTTCTCTCTACTCTCTCTCTCCCCCTCCACCATACCTTCTACTCTCTCTAAAAATCAGAAAAAATATCCTCACTTCCAGGGTGAGGATAAAAAAATAATAATAATAAAATGACATGTACAAAATGACATGCACAAATATAATAGACTCAATCCCTGTGGTAAGGGAATTTCCCTGTATCTTGTATCCGTAAGTGTCAGTATCCTGTGTGTGATAATGTACTATAGTTTTGTAAAATGTTACAATTAGGGAAAACTGGGCAAAGGGTTCATGGGATCTCTTTTTATTATTTCTTACAACAGCATGTGAATCTATATTACTTCAAAATAAAATATTTAATATTTTTAAAAGAAAGTAAAAACATATGCCTAAATTATTTGGTCTGAGAAAAATTGCAAGGAATTATTTAAATCATATGAGTTCAGGTTATAGCTCATTGATTTTATGACTCTACACTGACATCTAATGACTGATGAAAAGTTTCATTCTTGAATTTTTTAGACATTTCCTGGCAACTTGACCCAAGCATATCCACATGTTGACAAAGGCCTTATTGTAATAGTTGTATACACATTCTTCTCAGAGTTCTTTACTCTATTAATTAGATGTCATGGATAAAAAGCTATGCAAATGAAGTACACAAGACCATATGTTCTGGTCAATCGGGACCCTCTTATTTATGAGTACTTTTTGTGATAATTTACATGCACATGTATAACTTCAGTGTATAAGGATTAAATAACTTTTGATTAAAAATATGTTACAAATTCTTTAGAAGAACAGACTAAGTTTTTAATGTAGAGTATGAATGGGTACTATTTGTTTATGGCATGCATATGGTATCTTGCATTATGATGGTTTTCTATAACTGATGTTCTAATGATATTGGTATTCTAAATGTTTAAACCTCAAACAGACTTTCATATAGGCAAATAAGAAAGATATATGGTTACAGACTAGGTATATGTTTAGAAGAAATTGTTAGTTCATACACTTCACTTTAGTCATTGAACTGCACTTTAAATAATATTATAGTAAACTATACCCCACCAAACACTACAGTGCATTGAGGGGCAGACCTTTCCTTGACTATGAATTCAATTTGGTATATTTACCAAAGCAGATATGAATGGAGAAAACTTTACATTTTAACTTACAAATTTTGTTTTTACCTTGCAGCAAAAAGAGACGGAGGAGGTAGAGGAGTAATAAAAGAAAGAGAGAGAGGGGAGGAGGAAGGAAGGAAGGAAGGAAGGAAGGAAGGAAGGAAGGAAGGAAGAAAGAGAAAGAAAAACTTCTAGTTTCTTAAGGCAAAATTGAACTTCAGGCTGGAAGTTTCCCTTTTTAGTCATCCACATACCTACCAATTACACTTGAAGATTTAGTTACAGCAGTTAAAGTAGTCTAATGGAAAAGACATGCAGAGATAAAAAATAGTCAAAACTCAGGGAACAGAGAAGCATTAAGAAAAAAAGAAACATACTATAACAAAATGACTGTTATAAAGCTAAATTGACAGGAATCATTAAAGTCTGAGATTTAAAAAAAAAAAACACAAGACTAATGACAAATGATGTGCTCTTAGATGTAGTATAAAGAAAGTCCATGCTTCATTTTCCCCAAATTTCCAACAGGAAATGAGGTGTAAGATGAAGGGTTTATATTGGAAATTAAAGAGATATTTCTGACAAGGAAACAAAATACAATGAAAAAAGTTACTAAGAATTGTGTTGGATTTTTTCATATAGTTGTTTATCTCATTGGAATAAAGGAAATAATATTATAGTGTCTGTCAAAGAAAGTATAAACAACAATTTTGCAAGCACTGTAGTATGCAAGGACTTGCACTGAAATTTCACTTTATCACCATATAACAAAATTATTTTTTCTTTCTTTTTATCTTCATCTAAAGATATGTTTTATTTTGAGAGAGAGAGAGAGAGAGACATCAATGCAAGAGAGAGAAACAAGGAGCAGTTGCTTCCCGTACACACTCTGATAGGGGGTTGAACCCGAAATCTTTTGATGTACAGGACAATGCTCCAACCAACTGAACCACCTGACCAGGGCATAATGAAATTATTTTTTAAAATGTGATCATGTGTGTGCACACATACATATGCAATAAAAAATATTCTATAAATATTAAATACAATAAGAAAACAATAAATGTCCTATAAAAAATTAAAAGGTAGTCCCATAATATCTAAAGGCTTCAAAGTGCATAGTAATGTATATTTATTATAACAGCTTATAACCAGAGTTTTCCAAGAATTTCCTAGGGAAATTTCTCTAACTGAATTTTGCTCTTACATGGTAAATATCTTCTTATTCTACTTTCTTTCTCTTACCTTTGCAGTCCTTTTTATTTGAAAGTAGAACAAAACCAGTTTTACAAGAACATTGGTAACTTCCAGGTGTATTATCACAAATCTGACTGCAACCTCCATTTATGTTTGAGGGATTTTTGCATTCATTTATATCTAAAAACCAGAACATAAATTATTGTTAAAGTGATAAAGCCTTCAGAAAATTCCTCAGGGGGTTGATCCAGATAAGCCAAATGGGTATATCATACATACCGAATTCACACTTCTCTCCTTGCCAACCTGATTTACACTTGCAAGTGAATGTAGCCTGGCCATCTTTGCAGCTCAGATATCCGTCTTCATTGCATGGAAGAGGGTTGCATTGGTCTGGAATGGCTAAAGGAAATAGACATCTAGTTAATTTTTACCACATGCCATAGTAAATAAAATGATATACCTTTTGATAAAAATCCTGTGCATGCAATTTACCATAACTAAGATTTGGAAACAGCCTAAGTGCCCATCAGCAAATGAGTGGATTAAAAAATTGTGGTTCATTTACGCAATGGAATACTACGCTGTGATAAAAAAGAAGGAATTCTTACCATTTGCAACAGCATGGATGGAACTGGAGAGCATTATGCTAAGTGAAATAAGCCAGTCAGAGAAAGATAAATATCACATGATCTCACTCATTTGTGGAATATAATGAACAACATAAACTGATGAACAAAAACAGATCCAGAGACAGAGAAGCATCGATCAGACCGTCAAACCTCAGAGGGAAGCAGGGGAGGGTGTGGGTCAGGGGAGAGATCAACCAAAGGACCTATATGCATGCATATAAGCCTAACCAAGGGCACAGACACCAGGGGGGTGAGGGCATGAGCTGGGGGGTGGGGGAACAATGGGAGGATAAGGACACATATGTAATACCTTAATCAATAAAGAAAAAAATTTAAAAAAAGAAATCCTGTGCATGAAGCCTATAATAAACAAACAAAAAATTGTAAATCCTTCTTTCAAATAATACTTTTTCATAAAATATTGAGTCCATTAGACAATCTTTTTATTTTGAAAAAGGAAACTACTCTTATATTTGCCAATATATACAGTATTTTATAAATGTAATTTAGATATTTTTTCATATATATTACCATACTTGAACCTTAAAACAGTTCCATAAGATATACAGAACACATAAAACTACTCTCAATATTAACAGAAAAAAAAAATTGGGGACTTCCAATTTGGGCTAAAATGGAATAACAGAGACCAGGTTTATCCTCCTGCCTTAGATAAATAGAACTCTGTCAAAATACATGAAATAATGGTTTTCAGACATTTAAAAAAAGGTAGCAGAGTACTGTGATCCTTAGGGGAAGGAATTTTCTTCATAAAATGTCAGAGCACTTTATCACCATCTTAATGACATGCCCATTTGTTTCTTTAGTCATTTGTGGTTTCTCTCTCCTCACAGGACACTGCAGGGTCCCTGGTTCCTACACATTTCCACACCTGCTTCTCCAGCCTTCCTAGTCAACTCAGCGAGTTCCTTCCGTACTTCCCAAACAGCCCCCTCTGCTTAGGTTAGCTAGAGGAAAATTCTGTTTCTTGCGAAGAAAAACATTTTAAACCCAGCTGAAACTTAATTACCACATGTTTTTAAATGTCCTCATAAGTTCATCAAGTTGTTTTTTAAAATAGTAATAAGTTAGGAATTAAAATAACAGAAAGACTGATCAGAAATTGTTATCAAATTACTTTCCTGTCCTTTGGTAAATTAAAAAACTGATAAAGTGTGAATTAAATATGCGTGTTCAAATAGTTTTATACTTATGTAAGTTTAACTAACTTTATATTAGAGAAAATTCAGGCAAATATCTAGATATTGCCAATGCTCCATGTAAAACATTCACTGGACAAACATTCCAATCTTGCATTTTCAACTTCTTGCAATTTCACCTTCTTCTCTATGACTCTCAGGAAACTGGTAAACCAGAGACAGACAATGTTCCAGGATTATCACTAGACTTTATGTGGACTTAGAGGGAGAAGGATAATTTGGGATCATAACATTTTCCACACTTATGTTATTGATGCCAACAGTTAGGAGAATAACTTGGCTCAATTTTGATCTATTAATCGATTGTAACATTTGGTCATATTACATGATTATGCAACGATAGACAAAATAAAGCTGTTGGGGATAAAATTCTGAAATCCATGACCTAAAGCGTAGTAAACAAGGCAGACAGCTCAATAAACATTAGGTGAAAAATTCATTTTTAATAAAACAGTAACATTTACATATGACAAGCATTCTTTCAAATGCATTTTGAGCCAACCTCCTTCTTGGGCATCACCTTCAAGGGTTCATTTGTTAATTTTTAAACGTATTTACATGGGTGTACTTTTTGCAGGTTTTTGTTTGGTTTTGTTTTTAAACTGATTGCAGAGGTATTTACCCTTGACACAGCTCCTTAGATCAGAGTAGGCATTAGTTGACTGACGTGCAGCAGTGAATAATCCAGCTCGGAAGGAGCCAAGACAGCCTGTAAATACAAACAAATGTAATCTTTTTAGAGTGGGCATGCTCACATGATCTGAAATCATGGTAGAAATTATGCAAAGAGGCACAATATTTATAGTCCTGTGGACTTACAGATTCAGCATTCAAAGCAAGATTGCAAAAATAAAGATTCATGAAAAATCTATACATATAAAAGCCTAAGCAACCATTTGACTGTTCGATCAGTACCTATGATACACAATGACCACCAGGGGGCAGATGCTCAATAAACAGGCATGGAAACATGGAACAGACTGATGAATCTCAGAAGGAAGTGGGAAGGAGGGAGGGCGGGAAGAGC